GTAATTGCTTAGTCACTTAATTGTCTAATCACTTAGTTACTTAGTCACTTAGTAATTAGTCACTTAGTAATTAGTTATTTAGTAATTATTAGTCATTAGTTGCTAGAACCTTTTGGTAATTTAGTAATCACTTAATCACTTAGTCACTTAGTCACTTAATTACTTAATGCTTAGTTGCTTAGTTACTTAGTTGCTTAGTTACTTGGCTGCTTAGCTACTTAGCTTACAGATATATAAATCCTGCTAAATTTTCCAAGTGTGATTAAGCAACAAACATCTTTTTTTCTTTTAATATTATAAACACATCTTGGAATTTTTTAGAAACAGAAACCTAAAGATAGCTCTTTTTGTTATTACTTTAATAAATAGCTTTTGATTATAAACTGTATTAATACTTCTCTTCTAAGATAATTTCTACAGACAAGATTTATCTCCTCTTAGTAAAATAAAGTAAAGTTATTAGTATTGTATTATTTTTCTTAAACTGTCTTAGAGAAAAGTATAGTTTCTTAACAACGTCTAACAGAAGCTATATTTTCCTCTTGGATACTACATATATCTGTGGGAGATTTTCTGTACTGTGTTGTCATTATAGTATAAAAATTAAGAAAGCTTTTATCTATAATACTATATAGGCTTTATATTAAATACTATTTTTTAAACTGTATTTTAAACAAATTTGGTTGAAAAATTAAATTGTATTTAGTATTTTTTTTTTATTTTATTTTATTTTTTTTTAACTTTAGTAGTCATACTAGTACTTTATTAGAATTTTTGAAACTATACAAATTTCATGAAATTTTTCTGATATATAAGGCTAGCATTACTCAGTTACTTAAATAGTATCTAAGTATAACCTGCTGTACTATTCTAGTTAAAGATAGACTACTCACCTGACTGCCACTTTACAATAAAACATTACCAATTTGATGACATCTTTTATAGAAAAGCAAAAAACAAAAAAAAATTTTATGTAAAAACAAAACAAAGATATAGGGATAAACAATAAAAATACAAATTAAAAAATAAAAAAGGAAAGAAAATAAACAAGAAAAAAGAAAATATATAAAACTTGCAATTTACAAATATCAAATAGTCACAATTGTATACCTGTATCAGGCTTTTAAAAATTATAAACTATACTAAATAAAAATAACTCTACTATTTTTCTATTTACTTAGATTATTTAACAAAAAACTATATAGAAAAGAAAAAAAATTTTTGACTTGATTATAGAGGGTCAGTATAAAGTACTAGTTAGTCTGAAGGTAGTATTTTCAGGTTTTTTAGTATTTTGAAACATGTATATAATCATGATTATATTACTGTATTGTTTCTGATCTATATTATCAATAAATCTATTTAAAAAATAAATATTACTAACTGTTTTGGTAGTTTTATATATTGATTTTTAGAAAGAGGTAAGCTAAATTACCTATTTTTTACAAAATTTCCTTAAAGCAAAATAAAGTCAAAAAGTAAATCAACTTTGTAGCTTTTGTAAGTTTTTGACTTTTATAGATATTCTTTGTAAGTTTTATAGTTGTATAAAACTAATATATTTAACTTTGTTATTTACTTAATAAAAAACTTTGACTTTTAGTAACTACTTCTTTTATAGTTCCAAAGAGTATTTATACTATTACCACAAAGCTGCAACTTCTTTTTCAACTTTATTTCAATGTTCAACTATGTGTGTATAGTACTCTGAAAAAGTTTTTATTAGGTTTAATATATTAACTATATCATTTTTCTGTAGTTTGGTTTTTTTAAAAGTTTGGTTCAAATAATCATTAGAAAGAGTTGATTAAATTTAGTATTTTTTAAATAAAATAATAATTTATTAACAAAATAAAATATTAGAACTCTTTTTAATAATTATCTAAACCAAACTTTTTAAAAAACTAAATTATAGAAAAACAATATAGTTAATATATTAAATTTTATAAAAAACTTTTTAGAATACTGTATATATATAATTAAACATTAAAATAGAGTTAAAAAAGAAGTTGCAACTTTATAATAATATTTTAAAAGTGCTCTGAAATTATTAAAAAAATAATTAGTAAAAGTTAAAGTTTTTATTAAGCAAACAATAAAGTTGAATATATTAGTTTTATACAATTGTAAAACATATAAAATATACTTATAAGAGTTAAAAGTTTACAAAAACTGCAAAGTTGATTCATCTATTGTATTTATTTTTTTTGAAAATAATTTTTATCTTTTTTTAAAAATTGATATATAAAATTACTAAAACAACAGAGTGTAGTAACTTAGTAAAGTAGATAAGTTGTTAACTTTTCAAATAGTAGATTGAATATTCAAATCTTATTGATAGCAAAAATCCAAATAATTATTTATATAATATTTGTATTATAGCAACTATTTGTAATAATTGAGTTAAGATACCTGTAATAACAATTACATTAACATGACTAACGAGTTATAAGTCAGCAATAAAACCAGTTATACAAAAAAATATAAATTTATATAAAGTAGTGCAAACTCTAAAAAAGTTTTTGTAGCTATATAAATTTATTAAAATTGAGAAATAAAAAGTCTATTTAAGAAGATTTAAGTAAAGAAATAGTATAAATCTTTAATATTACTATTGTAAAGCCTAGTCTAAAGAAATAGATACTAATATTAAAGTATTCAGATAAGCAAAACCCTTTAGATTAAAAGTCCTAAGATATCACCAATTAGGTTACTAAAATAAATTAAAGAAAAAAATATTAGATTAATCTAATATACTGATAGACAGGTTGTAGTCTTATATAGGCTATTTGAATTAAAAGTCTGAAAAACAAATAGAAGTATACTAGAGTATTAAGAATATACTATAAAGTAGATGCTAAGATTCAAGTAAACTTTACAAGAGCATAACAGTTAAATAATATAATTTTGACTATAAGTGTTAGTTCTGTTATAATAATATTAAGTTAGCTATAAAAATAAATATAAAAGGCTTTAAAAGATTTATCTTAAGGATAAAATAGTTTTAAGGTTAAGATGATAATCTGAACATAATCTAGTAATATTAATACAAATACAGGTTTAAAGAATTTAAAATAAAATATAACCCTATTATAAAGGTTAGTTCAAAAAAATAGATACCAAGATTATAGTATCTAATTATAGTAGTCAGACAGGCAAGAACCTCTGGGTTTGGAGTCTTAAAGATACTACCAACCAGGCTGCTAAATCAAATTAGAGAAAAAAGATATAAGACTGATCTAATATATTAATAGACTGGTCATAGTCCTATATAGGCTATCTGAATTGAAAATCTGATAAAAAGACAAATGAAAAAGCAGAGGTATACTAAAATACTAAGGTTATGTTGTAAAATAGATACTAAGATCTATATGAATTCTACAAGAATATAGTAGTTAAATAATATAACTCTAATCACAAGTGTTAGTTCTGTTATAGTGATATCTAAATTAATTATAAAAATAGATACAAAAGACTTTGAAGGTTTATCTTAAGAATAAATTAGTTTTAAGGTTAAGATAATGTTCTGAGTATCTGAATATAATCCAATAAGTTAACACAGGTTACAGGTTCAGAGGGTTTAAAGTAGAACATCCAAATAGGAGTATTAGGTATAATAATTGATAAGAAACTTTCAGATAAACTTCTTAAATAAGAAATATAGAAAAGTTATATATGTAATCAATTGTACTCTCTTCTATAGTAGTTTATAGAATCATATTATCAAAAAAGCTATTAATAAAAATCAAAAAACCAAAGAGATTATCTTAATACTATAAAAAAAAAATAAATTATTAGTATAATTATTAAAATTAAAAAAAAATAAAATATAAAATAAAATATATTTTGTTTATAAAATATATTTCTTAAATTAAAGTTCTTATCTTTAAAGAGTGTTTTTTATTTAAGTTTTTGTTAGATATAAATGTCTTTAGAAACTCCTTTATATTAGAGATTATAACTAGTTATATGTATACTTTTAATATCTAATTTAAGTAGTTTGACTATATATTACTATAGATTTTATACTAAATGCTATACCTATAAGTCAACTATAGGTCTTAGCTATTTAAACCCTTTGTATATGCAATCTTTTTGTATTACAGAAACATCTTTAGAATACAACTCATCCAAGTTTCCAATTCTTATTAATACTTTTAGGATTATTTTATCTTTGACAAGAGACTTACTAGAACCTGTTATATCTTACACATAGTTGATCTAATTTTATACAATATGCTATGGTTAACTAACATTTGCAATTACAGAGATTACCTATTTAATTGCTATGTTATACTATTTTTATCTTTGTAAAATTTACTAAGACCTCAGTACTCATCTTTCTAATATCTTCTTTATCATCTTCTACTAACTGCTACTCAGAACTGACAAACTCTAACCAGACCACCAATCCAGATGATCTGGTATAATATACTTCTATATCCTTTTCCTCTGACAAATCCAGCAACCTGATCGGTTATGTGCTTCTTTATACATATTTTGTGTCCAGTTTATCCAATCCGTTCCTTTGGAAGTGGTTCATGAACTTCAACCGGTCCGATGGTACTGTTAAAAGTCCATGCCACCTCTTTACTTAGGAATTTCCAAGTGGGTTTCCGGCTCCTTAATAAATACAATATTATTCTCAATATAGTAAGCACATTATAAAAAATCTTTATAAGCAAAACCTTTTATAAACATTTCTAAAAGGAAAATTCTTGTGGTCCTGATAGTATTGCTATAAAGAGGTTTAAACTGTATATAAACGGTTTCATGCAATTGTGTGTGAATTACTAATGCCATTGATTAGATTCCTGGCATAGTTCAAATTAATTTAGCTAGCCGTCTTTGTTTTTTTTTGTAAGCTACTAGCTTTTAAAGCTATTTTAGTTTTTAAATACCATACACTATAATTTTTATTTCATATTTAGATAAAATATAAAGTATAATGCTTTATAAATATAAATATTGCTAAAATTTATAAACATTTATAAGATGGTTTAAATATTAATGTTTACAAAATCGTAATATTGCATTGATAAACTAAATTTGGAATGAGTCAATTTACACATATCATCGAAATCACAATTAATAGCATCCCCTAATAATTGTTTGAATGTTTTCCACGGACAATAAGTATAAACACACTTTGGAATCACCGTAGGCTGTTCGTTAACCAGAAGTTGGATAAGGATTGTGCCAAAGACAGGATCTGCGTCATACCTGGTTGAACAATTATATATCTCAAAATAAACGTTTGCTGAAAATGGGGTCAACCTGCTTGTTCTAAATTTGCGAGATGCGATTTGCTGTGGTAAAGTATCAGCGGTTAAAGGATAATTATCTTCATATAAGCCCTGTAAATGGACGTGTAATTTTTTTTAAAAAAAAATCTAGATAATGTTAATAATGAAAGCTTAACCTACCAACATTGTTGTCAGAAACATTATCGTTTCTGCATGTGCAAATTTCAAAGTACTTCTGACTTCTGATCTTCCAGTTAAATAAGATTCTACTGATTCTACAAAACTAGTGAAAAATCGACAAGCTAATTTGGTATTAAGCTGATATCCGTAAGAAAAGGAATAATAATAGCCCATATCAAGTAAATATTCTATTTGTAAAAAATCATCTTTCTCGAGTAAACTACACCAAGTATCATTTTTATCAGAAAATGACACCGCAAATGAGCACGCGCGATAAATATAATTAATATGAATGGGATCTAAAGGTGGCTCAATTTTTAATCGATCGCTAATCCTCCGGGAAATAGTTGATATAAATGCATCAAGGTATTTCTCTTCTTGCCACTTACGAGTAAAATTGCTGTCGTTTACTGTGGCGAGCCATAAAGGACATGCATGATGCATGGACAATTCCGTATCTTGGTTCTTAATAAATTTTGATGTAAATGTTATTAAATAATTATACCATCCCATCATAAAGCTCTTCATTCATTATACTTACTCTAGGGATAGAAGAAATATATACAGGCTGTAATTTCAAATCACTCAACGATCCGTATCCCGAAAACAATCCAAAAGCGTACGCATTTCCTGATTGTCCAGTTCTAATGTTATATATTTTTAGATTAAATCCTTCGATCAGTCTAAAACTACACAGTCCCGTATGGTATAGATGATCAGATATAATACAGGCAGATTTTAAACACAATACTATACTGGTTCAGTGTTATATTAGCATTAGGGTTAAAACTACAGTTTATTAGTATAATATAGTTTTTAAAATCAGTCCATGTTATACAGACCTGGTAACCTATACCATACTGACCTGTAACATTAACCACAGATTATCAATTCGAATGCTAGGATGTTGTCTAAGACATTTATCGAGTAATTCTTTATTCATAGTAGGATAGTAAGGTCCAAATAACCTTGAATACAATGCTGTCTGTAAGTCGCCATGTGTGACATCAATTTTGTTTACTATATCGACCACTTTTCCAAAATGTCAACTATTCCAGCGACGAATTTGGAAACCAAATGATATGAATCTCCTAATAACAATTACAAGAAATTCGTCCCTAAACTTTTTTTTTTGTTTTAAAAAAAAAAAAACTAGTGACGACAAAGATAATACTGTCAGAGACGATAACATCAAAAGAAACGACAAACCGTCATGTATGCATCAAATTGTCAGCTATAGATTTTAATGTTTAATGACGATTTGTTGCATACATTATAGGTGTTATAATCTCCGTAATCTTTATTACTCGAAAATAGAGACCACTTTCAAGTACATGTAGGTCCGCATGACTTGGTAGTAGCAGTACCCTAGTCCTACTATACATGCTGTAGAAACTAGTTACGGCTGTGTCGAAAATATTTAGGCACCGATTTTGGGTAGAAATAAAGCTGCAAGTCATAATTTGTGTTGCAAAAGTTGAAATATAAAATACAAGCCATAACCTAAATTGCTAGCCGCAATTTTATATCATCAATTTCAGTATACATTCATAGAAACTATTTTGCATGGCAATGAGTTTCAGCATATAAATTTTTCAAAACATAAATAATGCCGAGATACTTTAAGTAAACCAAAATAGTTTTTATGATATGTATAGTTTTGACTTAGGTATTGACCATTAGTTGCGGCACAAATTTTAGCTTTAGGCAATGCCGCATGCCAAAAATTCAGGTAGAAATATTTTGAAATACTTTCTACGGCATGTATAGGCCCTACGCGTTTGCGTAAGGACTCAATTTTCAAACCCCTACCCTTATCCCAGGGCCTGCACTTGTGCGCTACCTTTGGGCATCCACAGATAGCCATGCCGAAGCCTAGCTAAACACGGACTTGGAATGATGATAGCAGTACTCTAGCTCTGCTCGTTTTTCTCTCACTTAGGACTTAAATTGGTTTCCAGTTCTTAACATATATGGCCTTACCATCCAAAATTTACATTATAAATGTCTTTATCCTTATCACACCTAATTTAATACCTTGAAACAGCTGAACTCTGAAACACGACAACATTAGAATCGTACGTGATATTATGCCAGAATTCGTAATACCGTTGACGAGCCCTTTTGCCCAACAAGTATAGTTCATGTTCTCCTCGATTCGTAAGGAGTCCTGCTTTTGAATAATTAAATGGATTTGGCTAAAATAGATTAAATATCTATATATCCTGACTGAAGTGAGAAAAAATATATATAATAAACACCCAATCTTGCGCCAAAGGAATACTGGAGAATAAACTATCTAGTATATCGAACTTTTTAACGTCACTAGAAGTAGGATATCTTGCCCCTAATTAATATATCGTTAGAGAAATTCGAGCATGTATATTTTTAATAATAATAAAATTTACCATGTCGAGAGACCAAGTGTAGTTGCACCAACACACACGACTCAGGTGATTCTAGAGGTGGTGTAGTATTTGATGTTATAGGATATAGGCCTTTTGTACTTAAATGTCTCGTGAAATCGAAATTACATAAAGCCTCCGATATAAGTAAAAGTAAAATTAAACTAATTTGGGCATAAATCATTTTCGGGTTGAATTTAGAAATCCCAACATTATACAGAAAAAAAACATCCAATATTTTATATATAATTTATAACCCAAAAACTTATAATAAATTAAAGATTTTTATAACAATTTTTTTATGCTATAATTCTATTAGGACAGATTTTTATTTGATTTTTATTTTATTTTATTTTTTTTGATAATCTATAAAGGTATTTTAAGTTTATACATTATGTATGTGTTTGGAAATTTGACGCTTAATATATAAAAAAAAATTGTTTAATGTGTAACCAATCAAAATTATTACACAAAGATTAGCCAATCATAATTTTTAAATTTGGAGCTTTTTAAAAAAGGAAATTCTATTTGTACACTACAATGTGAAAATCAATAGTGAGTATAATTTCGATAAAATCTAAATCAGTTTATTGTTTATCGGGTTATAAAAAAAAGCTTTCTATTACATTAAAATATGCTGTTCATTATGCTTTCATGCGAAATTTCTAAATAAATTAATATATAGAATGTCAAGATATATGGCTCGATATTCCACAAAACTATTTAGAAATATTGCGTGAAAGCATAATGGATAATGTATCTTAATTAAAAGTAAGATGTAATATTTTAAAATTATATATAAACTTAATAATTACAAATATATTACAAGAACGGAGCTCAGACTATAAACTGATTTATCTGATTTATCTGCAACCTAAACCTACTAGAATGGTTAAAACTCACCTAGATTTGATAGTATAGAATATTGCTTGTAAAGTAATTATATAGTATCCAGTGTACAAACCAAAGGTCAATTTTGTGAAATGCATGTTCTAGTAGTAGACAGGTATTGTTTTCTGTATGAAGTTGATTAAATAGGCTGCGCAGTTGGCAAATTGTGTAATGCAAATTACAATGTTGATTATGATTAATAATACTGATCAAAGTGGTAAAATGATTTCATCATTCCAATCAGTATTGATGGTGTAATTAGTAAATTAGTGAAATTGATGTAATTGATAAAATTGGTGAATTGATAAATTGGTAAAATGATAAAATAGTCATAAGGTTTGTTGTACCAAAGTAGAAATGAATAAGTATAAAAAATAAAAGTAATCAAATATTAATCATTAATAAATAAACATTTCACTATTTCACCAATTCACTGTTTCATCAATTCACCATTTCATCAATTCCACTAATTTCATCAATTCACCAAAATTTTATTTTGATACAATTTTGATGAAACTATTTCACCATTTCACCCGGTAAAATAGTTTAATTTCACCAGCATCTATAGTTATGATTAATGATGCTGGTAACATTAAATCAGAGTAGTAAAATGATTTATCATTTCATCAATTACCAGAATTACTTGAATGTGTGCTAGGTTTGTGGCGCAACAAAAAGTTCTTTACAATTTCATTAATTCACCGTTTCACCAATTCACCAAATTTTTTATTTTGGTGCAATTTTGGTGAAACTATTTCACCATTTCACCAGCATTTATAGGTACCAGCTTTATTCACCGAGAATTTTTGATTATTAAGATATTCTAAAGATTTTGTTTATGGTATTTTGACATCTGATTTATTGGAGAAACCCATTTATTGCCATCTTGTTACCCACTGCAATAGTGCGGTTAATTAATTAATTAATTAATTAATTAATTAATTAATTAACGAATTAATGAATCAATTAATTAATCATTCATTTATTTATTTTATTGAATTGAATCTGAAATATCTGAAAATATCTGAAAATATCTCATTTCAATTGTCCTTTATGAATATTTTCAATAGGAGATAATCATGCATGGCTGGTTAAATGCTAAGAGAAGTTCATTTATTGGAAAGATTACATCATCCAAATATTGTGGATTACAAACATGCAACGCTAATGTTACACCAAGTGAAGGATTATATCCATAACATACTTTTAACGTAAACTCAAAATAAATAATTTTATCATTAACTACATCGTGTGAAAGATTATCATGTAACATTGACGGATTCTCCTGCTCAAACATGCTTGGTTAAAGCATCATAATTGACAACTTTTGGTAAATCCCCATTGCATTAATGATATCTGTGGACTATAAGACTATATTATAGGTGTAATATTTATATAGTTTCTATTTGTTTTCTATTGCTTGAATTTTTTTCTTTTTTTTTTAGGCCCACCAGTTAATGTTTATTCATACTAATGGAACGTACTAATGGTGGCAATTTGGAAGAATTCATTGATATTCAACCATCCACTTTTACCATGCAAAAAGATTCTAATGATCATCTTACACCAAAAGAACGTTTACTTCGTGCGAGAATGTTTTATCCAAGTCATTTAAATGATCAACCGACCCTCAACCTTCAAAATGATCTTTGAACCTTCGTGAAATTTGTTCTTTATTTATGGATATTTGTGAAGGTTAGCTCATTTAGATGGACAGGGTATTATCCATCGAGATTTAAACCTTCTAATTTATTATTACAATATGATAACTCGGAAGTTTTGACTGGAATGTTCGTATGTCAATATCATCTACTGTACTATATTTAATATCGATATTTACTATCTATATTTACTATCAATATTTACTATCCATATTTGCTATCCGTATTTACTATCCATATTTATTATCCATATTTACTATCCATATTTACTATCTATATTTACTATCTATATTTACTATCTATATTTACTATCTATATTTACTGTCTATATTTACTATCTATATTTACTATTTATATTTACTATCTATAACTATCTATAATTATCTATTATTTATACATTATTTAACCAAGAGTATTGATATCGGATTTTGGTGAATGTGAAATTTTAAACCAACTCTCCGAACGTGATAGAACTAGTGCTACTGGAACATTAGAATTTATGGCACCAAGACTATTAACCGGTAATTACAACGTACAACAAGTATATCATGTATTAAATCTATAAATCTATATAATTATTTAGTTAATGAAATCTTTATATATTTATATACATAGTTGATGAAAGAGATCGTTATCTTAAAGAATACTCTCAAAATTCAGATATGTGGTCACTTGGAATGATATTTTGAAACAAGAAATTATACATTTTAATAGGTTGGTTTTTTTGTTTTCGTTTTAATAACCTTATAGCGTAAAATCTCATATAGCGTACATGGGCGTTATTTCGAATTTTGGCCAGCAATAAGCTTAATAACACCCATGCCCGCTATTTCGAGATCTTAATAACCTTATAACCTTATGTGATGCATTATACACTTTTATTGACTATATTTCATTTAAATAATTTAAGCGTATAATTTCCAGATAATGGTATGACTAGTAATCGTAGGATTTCTAGTCAACTTAGAAATTTAATTACATGCTTATTGTCTCG